CCATCGAGAGAAGGGGATCAGTTGGTAGGTCTCCACCATCGCATGCCCACGCTTCATCTGTGGGCACTAGGGCGCCAGAGGCAACGGCGTCAGTGTCAGTGGCGAAGGATTCATCTGCTCAGGGTGGAGGAGTGAAGAAACTGGTTAGTCACAACCGGACGCTCTTATGCTCCTCAACCAACTATGCTCTATCGGTAAGTCGTTTGGAAAGTAGGGATGTCATGAAAGTAATTAGTGAGGAAAGGTCTGAACTAGAGAAGTACCTCTTTAATGAAAACAACAAGGTTAGCAAGTCACCTATTAAGTTCATCCTTGTTAAATGGTCCAATCTTGAGGATAGGATGAGGAGGGAAATAATAGAGAAGGAAAAGTTTAAGACCTTGTGTAGGGAGAGAGCGAGGTTAGTTGAGGAAAATGTCAAAATAGGTTTAGCTAAGAATAAGGATAAGCAGGTCCTGTTCTCGGAAGTTGTTAGGACCGAGAAAAAGGTGCAAAAGAATGCTCCTTAGGGCATTACAGGTGGATCGACTAAGGTTACCACGGGTAGTGCTAAGCGATTTAGGAATAGGAGCAATACGTTGATGGTCACAAGCACAAAGAAAGAGCTATCTTCGGCAGTGGAGATAAAGAAAGCTCTGTTGAAAACCATTGATCCAGTCAAGAATCAGATTAGGGTCAAAAACATCAGGATGGCTAGTGAGGATAGGGTCTTCGTAGAGACACTCGCTGGCACTGATCTGCAGAAGATCACTAACTGCCAGGGTCTAAGGGATACGGGTTTAATGGTGGCAAAGCCTTCTGTTAGAAAGCCAAGGATCATCACTTATGATGTTCCTGGGTATATGGATGAGGAGGACCTCAAAGAGGCATCCTAAAACAGAATGCGGAGATTCTTCAGGAATTAGACCTAGATTTTTTCGAGGAATCTTGCAATCCTAAATTTAGATTGGGTAAGAAGTATCAGGACTTGACAAACTGGGTGGTAGAAACATCCCCAGAGTTTAGCAGTAGGTGAGAAAGGCTAGGAGGATATACATAGGTTGGGCGAGATGTAGTGTTTCGGACTTTATACCCCTAACGAGGTGCTATAGGTGTCTTGATTTGAGGCACATTGCGAAGCATTTTAAGGCGAAAAACGAGACCTGCTCGCACTGTGGTAAAGTAGGACATCGTAGAGGTGAATGTCCCGATTCTGACAAACCAGGATCCTGTGGGCTGTGTATGAGGAAGAGGAGGCCTCATGCGCACGGTACATTTGATAGGAATTGTCCTTTATACAAAGTGGCGTTAAACAGATATGAGCAAACCATTGACTATGGACAAGATGATAGCTGATCTGAAAATCTTTCAGCACAACTTAGGAAAAGGCAGGGTAGCATCAGCTGAGTTAAGGGAAAAGGCTGCGTGTGTGCGAGCCTATATCATTCTCGTGCAGGAGCCA